AAGCATGTTCTTTTATGAGGATTTGCAACCCTCCATAAACACCCGACATAACGTTTGCTCCGTCATAACCCTGTCCTCTACATTTAGTTAAATCGATTTCATATTGATTAATTATATTCAAAATTTCAATTTTAAGTCCTTCGGCTCTGCTGTCAGATACTGCTACAAATCCCAAAAATAATTCAGATTTTTAATTTTAATTTAGGCACATTATTACCATCCTCTGCAATCGAAATGTATGGGAAAACTAGAGAAAGTTGGTCAATCTTTGACAAATCTTGAGTTGTATCTAAAGTTAGTTGTAATTTCTAGTTTGCAAGTCCTCATTTAGTTGCAATGGCACTGTGTTGCTTTGTTTAGTTGTTTAATATTGTTTTTTTCTCGTTATTTTTTTCTGACTTACACTTTTTTCTAATATAACTTTTGTTGCTTTTCTCATTAAGTTTCTGTAGTACAGAACAATCATTTATTAACTCATCATTGCAAGAATCGATATTATCTTGAATTATTCTTATAATACGTGTCGATTTCTTATTTTTCTCACCATGTCAGAGATTGTTCTTTAATTCATTAAAATATGATTCTACAGCAGAATTGAACATAAATCTTTCCTGTCATTAGGTAGCATTAAACCTGACCACAAAAGTATAATTGGAATATACCTGCTCATTACATAATTTGAAAATTGCAAATATATTTTATGTCGCTTTCAGATAATATTTTCAGATAACCTTTTCGGATAATTTCAGATGATATATAGAGTATGCCGTATTTTATCGTTTTTCCATCATTTAAGACTCTAAAACACATTCGTCCTCTCCAAGGAATTATGCCTTCATCTAATGATATTTGCTATTTAGGCTTCTAAATAATATTGAAATTTTCAACAAAATAATTTAGTACAGATCTAACTTTGAATAAGCGATCAGAATCGCCTGTGACGTCTTCATTGTTATTGAAATGACAAGCATTCTAGTGCAGTTCAATTTTTTTACTGTGTTCTGCATTGAATGAAATTTTGAAATTAGGTTTATCTTAACCTCAAGTTCAAAAGTGAAAATAATTCGGGTTTCACCACCATCACCTTGGGGAGTTGCGAGCCCATAAAAATAAGTGGACATTGAGCCGTTTTATTTCTACAAAACGTTTTTAATATTATAGTGTATAATTAAAAAATATTTTTAATACATATACCTTGCATAAAAATCATTTTCAACCCCGTATAAACTCTAAAACCCTTCAAACAACCTCTAAATTGAAAAAAAAAACACTTAAAAATAAATTTTGGTATGATATAATAAAAATTACGTATAAAATAAATAATATTTTATGTTTTCTATCTTGATTATCAAATTTTTTACCCTTTTTAGACTCTTAAAAACAACCCCTTGATGAAAATTGTTTGAAAAAATTTGAATTGTTTGAGAAAATTAAGACATTTAAAATGATATGAATGTTATTTTAATTTCTCTAAAATAATTACCATATTCGTAATTTGTTCAACTCTTAAAACTCCCTTGAATAAAAACAGTTAATATAATCGATTACAAATTGAAAAATTATTTAATGAAACCATAGGTAATCATAATTTATTTCAAACTGAAACAACATTAACTACTCAATGTCGAAATTGCTGTTATAATCACTATCTTCTTCTGGCTGTATTGGAGAGCTATTCTGGCAGTTATCACCACTACATGTTTCACAAGCTGTATTGCAGAACAGACCAACTTTTCGGCACCCGCATGAAGCAACCTTTTTTGTAGTTACAAAAAATAATTTTTAGTAATTCTTGTGATGCTGGTTGATCTACAGATTTGATTGGATTTAATAATCCTTTAATCATTACCCACTCCCAATCAGTTGGGTGAATGTTTTTGTTGCCAAGCCATATCTGTGTTTGAAGGTAAACTCTTCTACTATGCTCATTTATGGCACCAACGGTTGGAACCAAAGAAGCTAATTTAACAGCAGTGTTGTTTGTTGCTTTTATACGTATCTTTTATTCTTTTTGAGATATAATGAATGTAAGTTCGATTTTTTAAAATTCGGAAAAAAAGTTTTTATAAAATCGTGAGTTTTCTGAAAATAGTTTGTACTAAAGTAGTGAATCTGCTAGAATCCATCAAGATGATAATGAAGTGAATTCTAGATGGAATGTGAATTACTTTAATTCTGGTGGAAATGGCGCTCATTAAACCATATGATTTAAAAGAAAAAACTTCGTATATGCTTCTTATTTGCATGATAGCTCACTCATTTTACACGCAAAAAACTTGTAACAGCATTTGAAAGCTTATCTTGAGCACTATAAAACCCAATTTCACCGAAATGCATAAAATGTAAAACCTCGTCACTAGATGGCTTTAAATACAACAATTAAATCTTGAACGAAATAAAAACGACTTTGCTCTTTCAAATCTTGCTTCAATATTATTTCTAGAAAACTTTACAAAACACCGATTTATTAAGATTTTTTTGAAATTATTTTGTTCATGATTTTCGTTAATATGTATATTTTAAGAGATATTTGCAAAAAAACGAAGAAAAACGCCAAAAATGTATGAATTTTTAGTGGGCAGAAACTTGAAAAGTATTAGTTTTTTTGAAAAACTATAAAAGCTATTTGAATTTATATATTTGAAAACTATTTTTTTCTTATAATTAGTTTAATTTGAAAAATTGTTATTACACAATTGAGAAGGGGTGTCATCCCCCGGGGGTGGTAGCGGAACCCGAATTGTTTCCACTTTTGAACTTGAGAGTAAGATGAACCTAATTCCAAAATTCCATGCAATTTGGAGCACAGTAAAAAAATTCATACCCAAAACGCTCCGTTTACTGCACTAAATATATTTAACGAATTCTTAAGACTGTCTTTGTAAGTTGAACAGCTTTTTAGAAGTTGACTAAATATAGTCCTTTACAGCATTAATGCAAGAAGTAATTACACTGAATTTTTTTTTATCTGTATCTATTTAAACTAAGAGCTAATGGTTATTAAAATTATGTGGCGCTAGATACTTTAAACCTGATGATAATTTTGTAACAAAGTTATCATTTTTATAATTTATAATATGATCATATTCATGAACACTTAACATGTTGAATTTTTTGCTATCATATTTAATTGATGCTAAGTAAGAGTCGATGAATATGTCATCTAACCACTCATTTCCATATAAAGTAAAAAAATTATTCAATTTAATGTCATATTTACCAAGAAATCCTCTAGTATACAATATACCCCTATTATACATGAAGGGTTTTATATAGAAATTATAATCTATAGCTACATTTCCTTTCCTTTCAGTTTCCTTTGCATCTCTAATATCTACTGTCGTGGTGTTAGGATCCTCATTTAATTTTTCAGTTACTTTTTTTTACTGTGTCGCTTTTTTTCACTTTTTTAATATTGTTTACCATGCCTAACTTCTCCTGACTTGCATTTCTTCTTTTTTTTTCTATTGTAACTTTCGTTGCTTTTCTCAGGATTAAGTTTCTATGTTACAGGGCATTTCTTTATTAAATCATTATTGGCAAGTCGCAACTCACCTCTTAATTTCTTCACGAAACGTCTTGCTTCCATATATTTATCACCATGGCAGATATTGTTCTTTAATGTATTAAAAAATGATTCGACAGCAGCATTTGAGTACAAATGTTTTCTATCATTATCTAACATTAGACCTGACAACAAAGGTATAATTGGAATATACCTGTCCATTACCTAATTTAAGAAACCTGGGAAGAAAAAACGATTAATAAATCCTTCTTTCGGCATAATCTTTTCGGTTTCGCATTTAATACAAGGAAATCTTTATAAAATAGACTATTTCGTAAAAGATCTCGATATGGCTCACGATCATTTGTTATTTCTGAAACATCATTATCAGTCAAGATTGTCTTGTCTGATACTGAGTCATTATTTTCAAATAGATTTATTTTCTTGATCGCTAAATCTATTTGTACATTATGATACTTACTACCTAAAATCCACACAATATGAGTGAACATTTTTCGAGCATGGTTTAAATCTCTACATCTTTCACCTAAAAGAAAAATAATTGAGCTTACAGCTACAGATATTATTTCCTGATTACCATTTGCAAATTTTTTTGCATGATATGACAGCCTTTTTGTGAAATGACTGCAACATAAATGTAATGTTATGTTTTCTGTAAAAAGTTTAGAACTATTATCATTTAAAAACATATAGCACTTATTAATATAATCAATCAAATTTGTACTATTGCAACCTTGGATTATCGCATGAATGCTGTGAACGCAAGCAAACCTGTGAAGGTAGATTGTATACTTTACCAAAATTTTCATATGATTCAGGAAATTCTGTTATCATATCTTCGAACTGCTCAAGACGACATGCTGCCGGTTTTTGATGTTTAAGTTTTTTTTTTAAATCATCTCTGTCTTTTCCTCTAAGAATTGGATTAGTATCTGTACCATGATTAAGTATACCTTCAGGTATGATTATAATTTCTTTAATCATTTTTTGATGAGGATCAAATTTAATGTGAGCATTAAATATCATGCAATTTCCAACATCCTTTTCCTCCTTTTGATTGCGATTCTTGGGACAATGAGCTCTAATATGAGCACCTTTTTATTTACTCGTGCATAGCGAAAGTTCAAATCGCAAGGATATATTGCAGCTTTCCTAAAACACTTTAAAAATGCTTCTTTATAAAATTTATATCTGTACCATCTACAACATGGAATAAATCTTCAAATTGGAGATCTAAAGAAAATGGCTCATTTTTCTTCGGGATTTTGTCGGTAACACTCATTGATGAGTTATCGATTTTACTATATTCTAAAGCACTATTTGAATCATCAGAAAAATTGCCAATCATCGTGCTTGACAAAACATCCATTTTTGTAACAATATAAGATGGTACAAAGGAAATATTCTAAAAATAAAAAACTAAAATTTAATAAGGCTCAAAAAATTGCCAATCATCGTGCTTGATCCAAACAATATAAGATGGTACAAAGGAAATATTCTAAAAATTAAAATTTAATAAGGCTAAATTAGGATAAGTATAATTATGTAAAAAAATTATTTTGTATCTTATAAATATAATTAATATGCCTCACCTTAATATTGTTATATTATTAACTTGATAACTTGAAAAAGTTTCGCTATAACACCCTAAAACGAAAACATAAAAACTCGTTAAAATAATAATAAGTTATTAATAAATAATATGCCTCACCTTGATAGTGATCTTTATATTATATGTATTAATATTCAAGGCAAAATGCCTTGTGTATCTTATAAATATTATGCCTTGCCTTACCTTAATATATTATTCCGGTCCGCGTGAAAAAACTCTATCTTAATACTACTTCTGTATAATCTTGATTATAAACGCACTGAACGTACTAATTACACTAAATTAATAATATGATTAAATATAAACTATTATTGGAAATTATCAACTACGTTATAATATTATACCAATTGATACGTCTCAGCGCGTTCTCAAATTCCAAATGAGCTAGTCTCGCGACTGCAAGCCTGGCATGGAATCGCACACACACACACACACACGCGCGCACCCAACCACTTGAGACAAGGAGTGGCGCGCGCGCTCGCATGTCACGCCTCGCAAGCCTGTCGTAAAATCGCATGCACACAACTCATGCACACAAAAAACTACAACAGCGAGCGAGTGTCGCGCGCACTCATGCTAACGCGTCGATCAGCCACGACCAGCTACGACACTGCGCGAACGTGGTACGGCCTGAGTCGCGCGGGCTTTCGTTAAATCACACACACACGCAAGCAGCACGCAACAATGCTGCCAATTTTTCAATTGGAGTATATATAAAGTCGAAATGTATTGTTAATGAATAATAAGAAACTCTACACAGTTTATGTAGCTAACTCTTCATTAGAAAATTCCTTGAAAATAATAAGAAAAAGAGAATAACAAGAAATTCTATACAGTTTATTTCTATACAGTTTATTTTATGTAAAATTCATTAGTGTTTTAATAATGGACGATGCTAAATTAAATTTTTCTTTTGTAAGGTCATTGGCACTTTGGTTGTGGTCAGACTGGCCTCGACTACGACCACCATGGTGGCCTCTGTTGCCTCTGCTGCCGCCTCTGTTGCCTCTGCCTCTGCCGCCTCTGTTGCCTCTGCTACTGCCTCCTCCTGAAGGGAGGAAATTGCTCCGCGGTGGCTTCCTGCCGCGCTGAGTTCTTCTCCCCCGTCCACCACCGCGTACTGAATCTCTCCTATTTACGGCATCGTACCGGGACTAAAGTAATAATATTATAACAACTTATAGCTAAGTATATTTACTAATGTATTTATATAATATTATATAAATGCTACATTACCTTGTCAAGATAAATTTGTAGGCTAACGCCCTGAGTATTCATCATGATTTTATTGAATAAATCAATAAATATGTTTGCGTCATATGGCATTTCAAACGGCAGCAAAGCCACCGTCTTCCACTCTGCTGGCATTGCTGCCTGAACTTTCTTCAGCACTTCTCCAACTGTCTGGAGCTCGCAATCTGCCATAAGAAAAATCATAATGAAAAATTGCTTAAATTTGTATATAAGTTCCTTATATATACTTATATATAAGATTTTGATTTTTTAGTTCGTATATTTATATTTATACCTTCATCCTCATATGCAATGGCACATAATGCCACTGCATGCTTGTGGTCCAGGCGACGTCCCCGACACCGTCCGGCCTCGAATTTTCAGTATTAAATCTATCACAGTAAAAAATAGAAATATGTACACGTCCTGAACAATAAAGAATTGGATTTAAATTACTTACATTGTCATTTTTTCCATTTTAGTTTTGTTGTGACTACCCGTTAATAAAATTAGTAGGTGCTCCACGGGTATCGTTTTTAACGTGGAGAATTTCATCACCTTTGCCGCCACATCTTTAGTTAAGACTACAGAAAATGAGATTATATAGACATTATAGAGAGATTATAATATTATTATAATATATATATATATATATATATATATATATATATATATATATATATTGAAAATTACCAGTTTCTTTATTTTCAATTTCCATTTCGCGAATTCTACTTGCAACTTATTTCAATGATCTCGAAAATGAATTAAGTATTTCTTCTTTGACCGGCTTTTTGAAAAGTTTCGAGTAACATTCGATGAATTAAAGTAAATTTAATAACAAGTATATATGTAAAGCAGGGCAAGGCACAAAGGTCCAATTTGACTTTGAGCAAATACAAACTATATTATAAAAATCAAACCAATTATATCACAACAAATTACGCTTCCATAAAAAATTTCAAATTAAAAGTGTAAAGTTTTTACTCGATTTTGAAATATCACCTTTATATATATATGTATATATATATATATATATACTAGCTGACCCGGCAAACGCTGTTTTGCCATCAAAAATATTTTGCCGCATTGCAGAAGTTCTTATAATATACATGATATATTAATAATAATGTTATATTTTTATTACACAAATTTCTTCACATTTTGATAATTAATTCGAACGCATCATAGTGCTTTGTTTATTTTAATTTTATTTATGTCAAATAGTGAAATATTTTTAATCAATGAATAAATTAGATTTTAGTCTGAATCATCGCAGTACCATTTTCTAAATATATAATTTTTATATAAATATCAGATTTTTTACTTTTGCATTTAATTTAAAAATATTGAATGTCAATTTCATATATCCAATATGCACTTAATTTTTAAATGCTAAAATATTTTCTTTTTGGTTCGAAATTTAATATAATATAATATAATTTATATCTATAATTTGATTGCCAATATTGCCTATAACATAACTTGGAATAATTAATTTATTTGTATCTTATTGAAGTCGTTAAAAATTCATTTTTTTTTGAACTGTCAGAAATTTGTTTATGATTAATGTTAAATTCAATATGTCGCTTTTTTATTGTGATCTATAATGTTTTAATCGCTTATCATATAAATTTTCGACTGCAAATTGATATTCATACTATCCCTGAAACTAACATGGATAAGGTTCTGAAAAATCCGAGTCCAAATCTATAAAATGTTTGATTTTTGGCACTTTTATTAATTTTTTTATCAATTTTCGTACTGTAAAATAATGGATGATTATTTATCAAAATTGTAATATTTAGACTATAATTTTAGATGTATACTTTTTATTTTGGCATTGAATTATTTTCATTGAAATCAAGTGAAACATAAATATATTTATTCGATATTTATATAAAACATATAATTAAAATATGCATTAAAATCATATTGTCTATAAATAATATGTCATTTTATAAATAGTATTTATTACTTTGGTGCTTGATATGGGTATGAATTTGTAATAAAATATATTCTTTCTGACAAATAGTTAAAAACTTGTTATAATTTTCAAAATTATTTGACATTTCTACTTCAAAAATTAATTCACTCGCATCATAGCGTTTTGTTTATTATACTTTTGTCATGTCAAATACGTCAATATTTATTTTTTATAAATTAATAATTATTTTAAGTCATCAATGAATATATTATATGATTGTTAAATTCATAAAAAAGTGCAAATTCAACACAGGAATATTGTGGAAATAAATATTTTTTTACATAAATATCTGATTTTTGACATTTGCATTTCATTTGAAATTAATTATAACTGGCAAAATATTTTCTTTTGGATCGAAATTTAATATAATATGATATAATATTTAGTTTGTCTAGTTTGTTTTTGTCAGATTGCAATGATACCTTCAGATTGTACTATTTCATTTAAGAGGTTACAATTTTCTGTATGATTAACGTTTGCGATGGCAATCAAAATTTATCTCAACTCATATAATAATAATAATTTATTTTAATTACACAAATTTCTTTATACTTCGATAATTAATTCCAACGCATGATGCAGGTGTTTTGTTTATTTTAATTTTGTTTGTCATTTTTTTTTAAATTAATGAATAAATCAGGTTTCAGTCTAAATTAACAAATCAGTATCTTTATCTGAATATACAATTTTTTATATAAATATTTGATTTTTTACATTTTCATTTAATTGAAAAATAGTGAATGTCAATTTCATATATTCAATATGCAGTATATTTGTAAATGTCAAAATATTTCCTTTTTGGTCGAAAATTAATATATGATATTCATTTTACAATATTGTGTTGTATCTATAATTTGTTCGGCAATATAACTTGGAATAATTAATTTATTTGTTTCTTATTGAAGTCGTTAAACATTTTTTTTGTGAAATGTCAAATTTTTATTTATGATTAATTTTAAATTCAATACGTCGCTTTTTTATTGTGATCTCTGATCTATAAGGTTTTGATGAAGTTGTGGTATCCGAAATAATTTGGTAAGCTAATTAAATAAATATAAATTGTAAATCTATTTATATAATTAAACTTAAATTTCATAAATATTGACAAATGACATTTGACGATTTTCATGTCAACATTTATTCAAATTTATAAACATTGACTTTTAATTAGATTTAAAACTATAAATTGTGATTTTGAATATAGCATTTCATCTAATTTGGATATAAATGCTGGGTATATCTATATATGTATATGTATAGATATACTTTTATTGTATTGTGAATTAAATTTTTTGAACTGTCAAATTTTTTTTTCAAAAATCATAAATCTTTTTTTCTCGAGTTTTCCATAAATTTTGACATTTGTCATTTTAGTGTTTTTTTTTGGCCATTTTATGTCAAAATTTTTAGAAATTTATAAAAATTACATATTTATATTTTAAATTTACTTTTCAAAATTTCCTATAACCTAAGTTGGATATATAGGTACACGTTGAGCCAATAAAATTTAAAATCGGTCCAGTAGTTTGGGCGTCCATCGCGAACCAACATCGTGACACGAGATTTATATATATATATATATATATATATATATATATATATATATATATATATATATATATTGATGAGTTATTTATAATCGGGCAGTAACACCAAGTAAAAAAAAAAACTAAAGTAATTTTGAAATACTTTATTTATCCATACGTTTCGGTCTTCATCGAGACCGTCATTCAGTGGAAAAACTAAAAGATTTTATATGATGTAGAAGGAAAATAATATAAAGTTATAAAACTTATATATAAGTACTTACAGAATTAATTATGCAAAAATACACTACACTATTACACTATGATAAGCCAAGCTATTAATAATTGAAACATTTAAACTAATTATTTTTTTTGACAATTTTTTGGTTACATTATAGTGTGTACAAGTTGGATAACGACTAAATACTGAATGAATTGTGTTTACAAATATTAGGAAAGTGTAAAAA